ATTAGGTCACCTGAGTAACTCAGGTGACCTATTGCTATCCGTTTTCGTCCGTCGTCGTGCGTCGTGCGTCGTGCGTCGTGTGTCGTGTGTTAACATTTGAACATTTTCAGCTTCTTCTCTGAAACCACTGAACCAATTTCAACCAAATTTGGTATACAGCATCTATGGGTGAAGGGGAACAAAAATTGTGAATTTCAGGGTCCCCGCCCCCCTGGGGCCTGAGGGGTGGGGCCAAAACCACTAAAATTATTGCAATCTTTAAAAATCTTCTTCTTTACTCATGGACATCGAGCAGGCAAACTGTTAGCATGAATGTAATAAGCATTGAGTCCTCTACCAAAATTGTGAAATTCATGGCCCCAGGGTCAGGGGTTCTGGTGTTAGGGCGGGGCTCTATAGATTATATAGTAAAAATGCATTTATTCTTTGAAAATCTTCTTCTCTGATTCTGGGTATTAAATAAAATAACCAAGTACATAGTTATGATGAGCAAGAGTGCCTCTTCCAGATTTGTGAATTTTATGGCCCCAGGGTCAGGGGTTCTGGTGTTAGGGCGGGGCTCTATAGATTATATAGTGAAAATGCATTTATTCTTTGAAAATCTTCTTCTCTGCTTCTGGGTATTAAATAAACTAACTAAGTACATAGTTATGATGAGCAAGAGTGCCTCTTCCAGATTTGTGAATTTTATGGCCCCAGGGTCAGGGGTTCTGGTGTTAGGGCGGGGCTCTATAGATTATATAGTGAAAATGCATTTATTCTTTAAAAATCTTCTTCTCTGCTTCTGGGTATTAAATAAACTAACTAAGTACATAGTTATGATGAGCAAGAGTGCCTCTTCCAGATTTGTGAATTTTATGGCCCCAGGGTCAGGGGTTCTGGTGTTAGGGAGGGGCTCTATAGATTATATAGTGAAAATGCATTATTTCTTTGAAAATCTTCTTCTCTGCTCCTTGGTATTAAATAAACTAACTAAGCACATAGTTATGATGAGCAAGAGTGCCTCTTCCAGATTTGTGAATTTTATGGCCCCAGGGTCAGGGGTTCTGGTGTTAGGGCGGGGCTCTATAGATTATATAGTGAAAATGCATTTATTCTTTAAAAATCTTCTTCTCTGCTTCTGGGTATTAAATAAACTAATTAAGTACATAGTTATGATGAGCAAGAGTGCCTCTTCCAGATTTGTGAATCTTATGGCCCCAGGGTCAGGGGTTCTGGTGTTAGGGCGGGGCTCTATAGATTATATAGTGAAAATGCATTTATTCTTTGAAAATCTTCTTAATATCTGCTTCTGGGTATTAAATAAACTAACTAAGCATATAGTTATGAAAAGTAAGAGTGCCTTTTCCATAATTGTGAATTTTATGCCAATGATCCAAGTATATATATTTATGATGAAGAAAGGTGCATCTAGCAAAATTGTTTTTTTTTATGTCCCGAGGGGGGGGGGGGAGGGGCAACATAATCTGAAAATAAATTAATGCTTTGAAACCTGCTCTTTGGTATTAATCAACCATTTTATGATAAAATTTGCAAAATTTTGAAATATGTGGCCCCAAGGTCAGTGGTTCTTTTTGGGTGAGGTGCACAACTGGTTATAAAGTGGAAGAACATTTTCTCTTTGTACCTCTGATCTACCTCTGGGTATTGAGTAAGTAGAGTATTTTTAATTATGATAAGCAATGGTGTCTCTTTCAAAATTGTGAATTTCATGGCCTCTGGTTTAAAACACGAACCAAATTTAATTGTTTGAAAGTTGTTACACAATACTCAGGTGACCTATAAGGCCCGTGGGCCTCTTGTATGTACATTGCATTAGTAACCCACTAAGTGAAACACTTACTTCATATAAACAAAAATTTTGGCTGCTAGATCTATCTAATGCATCGCTTCGCATCACTTCCGTTACTACGGTTGTATTATTGCGCTTTTTGAACTCATAAAAAGCAACACAATTTTGCATCCAAAATTGTTTAATTACAACTCAACGCACTTTTTAAGCTGACATGGTTTTTCGCACAAATTAAGGTCACATTGTTCTAATAAAACTTTCTATTTTCGAACTGCAGTACAATGACATAACCCTAGGTTTTATAAATTATATACTGTAAATCAGTTTTAATTAGCTCACCTGAGCCGAAGGCTCAAGTGAGCTTTTCTGATCACATTTTGTCTGTCGTCCGTCCGTCTGTCTGTCTGTCCGGCTGTAAACTTTTCACATTTTCGACTTCTTCTCAAGAACCACTGGGCCAATTTTGACCAAACTTGATACAAAGCATCCTTGAGTAAAGGGGAATTTAAATTGTTAAAATGAAGGGACATATCCCCTCGCAAGGGGAGATAATCAAGAAAAGACAAAAATAGGGTGGGGTCATTAAAAAATCTTCTTCTCAAGAACCACTGGGCCAGTAAAGCTGAAACTTATGTGGAAGCATCCTGGGGTAGTGTAGATGCTAAATTGTTCAAATCATGACCCCAGGGGGAAGGGCGGGGCCACAATGGGGAATCAAAGTTTTACATAGAAATATATAGGAAAAATCTTTGAAAATCTTCTTCTCAAGAACCACTGGGCCAGAAAAGCTGAAACTTATATGGAAGCATCCTGGTATAGTGTAGATTCTAAATTGTTCAAATCATGACCCCCGGGGGAAGGGCGGGGCCACAATGGGGAATCAAAGTTTAACATAGAAATATATAGGAAAAATCTTTGAAAATCTTCTTCTCAAGAACCACTGGGCCAGAAAAGCTGAAACTTATGTGGAAGCATCCTGGTACAGTGTAGATTCTAAATTGTTCAAATCATGACCCCCGGGGGAAGGGCGGGGCCACAATGGGGAATCACAGTTTTACATAGAAATATATAGGAAAAATCTTTGAAAATCTTCTTCTCAAGAACCACTGGGCCAGAAAAGCTGAAACTTATGTGGAAGCATCCTGGTATAATGTAGATACTAATTTGTTCAAATAATGACCCCCGGGGGATGGGTGGGGCCACAATGGGGAATCAAAGTTTTATAAAGAAATATATAGGAAAAATCTTTGAAAATCTTCTTCTCAAGAACCACTGGGCCAGAAAAGCTGAAACTTATGTGGAAGCATCCTGGTATAGTGTAGATTCTAAATTGTTCAAATCATGACCCCCAGGGAAAGGGCGGGGCCACAATGGGGTATCAAATTTTTACATAGAAATATATAGGAAAAATCTTTGAAAATCTTCTTCTCAAGAACCACTGGGCCAGAAAAGCTGAAACTTATGTGGAAGCATCCTGGTATAATGTAGATTCTAAATTGTTCAATTAATGACCCCCGGGGGATGGATGGGGCCACAATGGGGAATCAAAGTTTTATATAGAAATATATAGGAAAAATCTTTGAAAATTTTCTTCTTAAGAACCACTGGGCCAGAAAAAGTGAAGCTTATGTGGAAGCATTCTGGGGTAGTGTAAATTTTAAATTGTAGGAATCATGACCCCCGGGGGAAGGGCGGGGCCATTATAGGGAATCAAAGTTTTACATAGAAATATATAGGAAAAATCTTTGAAAATCTTCTTCTCGGGAACCACTGGGCCAAAAAGCTGAAATATGTGCCCATGGAAGGATCATGTGGTAGTGTAGATTTCAAAATGTCTAAATTATGATCAGTGGGGTAGGATGGGGATGCATTATGTATAACAAGGGTGAAATCTGCTAAAGAACAGAATGGTCAAAGCTTCTCAGGTGAGCGATGTGGCCCATGGGCCTCTTGTTCGTGAGAGTTTTATATTCGCGTAATTACGCGAGACAGTGTGCTCGCGAATATTTATTTCTCGCGTACAATAGTATTCCTTAAGATTATAGAGCAGTAACCACAATTCGTGAAAATTTTGTCTCGCTAATCAAGAGTCAATGACTATCTCGCGATAATAAGGTGTCGCGAAAATTTAGTGATCACAGTAGTGTTCAAGCATGGATGTTTCTCAACTTCCGGCTGAGGAAAGGTGATTTGCAGAAGAATGTTGGAAAACGCGTGAATGCAGCGGACCTACTGCAAGATTCAGCCCGATTAGATTTTATTTCAATAAATGTGAGAGCTCCCGATGTCTGAATAAGACCCGACTTTGGCGAGAAATTCTCGCTATTAGCCAGAAAATGCTCCTAAGCGAATTCTAACATGGAGGCTAGTTTCCTGCCTTGTTTTGTTTAAAGTATAGTAGAGATATATTTTTTAACAATTAAGATAGGGAATGCCCATGATTTAAATTATAAGGAATGACTCTAATTCTCTTGGCCAAATTATCGAGTATAATCTGGTTTGGGTCAATTTACCCTTTTTATAAATCGAATTGTTAACGACTACACTGGGAACTAGAGCAGTAACGTATACACTAATGATAAGTAAACCATTCACTTTATTTATGTGATTAAACGATACAAATCATGAACAAAAATATTATAGGGTTATTGAACTTAGAATGGTTAATATTGGCACAAGTTGGCTGTTCAAATACACAAGCTTAAAATTGCGAGTGCATTAGAACAACCAATGCAACGAGTGCCAATATTCACCAACATAATTTCAAAAACTCCTTCATTATATAGCTTAAACATTTCCACATAAGTTATCATAATTATTCCAACTAAAAAAATGTCAAATTAATGAATTTTTGTATCGGTATTCAAATTAACGTCTGTCCTGTAAGCGTTCAATATCGCACCATTCCGATGACCCTACCGAGCGATTTGATTTGATTATTTAGGTTTTAATGGGTCTAATACGTACTAAATTGTTATAAATAATTACCTTTTTGTGTAAAAAAAACAAATCTTACCTCGATGCCACTTCCTTTCTTGAATTAAACCCTGAGAATTTGACCAGACTACTTTTTTTGTTCAATAAAACGTCAAGATATTGAACGCTAAACTTCTCGATCTAGATTTTTGGTAGTATTTTATTGTAGACTATTGAATAGCTACATGAACATGTATATAATAAGTAATAAAATATGATTGTCAAGTTTTACCTTTTTCTAATCTTTGGAAGATGGAGAAATCAGTGATATCCCCTGGAGCTGAAAATCTTTGAAAAGAAATTTAATTTTTGAGAAACGTAAAGAATTGTTTTTAGAAAATAATTTGATTAATGTTTTGTTTACGATTTGTCATAAATTAAATTTGACATTTTTTTATTAAGGAGGAATGCCACACCAACTTTTTATTTTATAGATCTCTGAGTCAACCTTTTAAAACAATGGTTTCAGCATTGAGAGACCGACATTAGCTCTTAATTATTTTATATAATTTTTTTTGTATTTTTTCAAAGGAAAAGGAAAAAATTAATTACATCCTAATTAGATGCTTTCTTGTAAAATTTTTGTTGTACATGAATGCATCACATGAATACCTAATAAAATATGTAAAGAAAGTCTGGTTAGACTTTTAAATTTTTTTATAAAAAATTATTTATGAAAATAAAACACATAATTTATGAATATTTTTTAAACTTGTGGTTAAAATCTTCTTAAAACCAGCCACAACTGGGGAGAACATGTTCATTAATCATATTTATAAAAGAAATTGAAACGAAGTCGCCAAATTTTAGAGAAATTAATTTTTTTAATTTTGGGCAATCCCGATCAAAATTAAATCGATCCCGACCATAATTGTACAATTATTGGAAATAAATAACATTTTCCTAAGAACACTAGTCTGATTAGGTGTTATAAGGGTTAAAACATTATAGAACCTGACAATAAAATAGATTTCTTCATTGTAAATACATGATGAGGCAATAAATTAGCATTTTATTCATTTTGTGTTAATTTTAATCGGGATCAGTTTAATTTTGATCGGGTTAGGTCCAAATATTAAAAAAATTAATTTCTCTAAAACTTCTCAATTTCGTTTCAATTTCTTTTAAAAATATGATTGACAAACATGTTGTCCTTAGTTGTGACTAGTTTTATAGTGTTTTTAACCATAGGTTTAAAAAATATTCACAAATAATGTGGTCTATTTTCATAAATAATTTTTTATTAAAAAAATTAAAACGTCTAACCAGACTTTCTTTACATATTTTATTAGGTATTTATGTGATGCATTCATTTACAGCAAAATTTTTACAAGAAAGCATCTAATTTGGATGTAAATATTTTTTTTCATTTTCTTTGAAAAAATACAAAAAAATTCATATAAAATAATTAAGAGCTAATATCAGCCTTTCAATGCTGAAACCATTGTTTAAAAATGGTGACTCAAAGATCTATGAAATAAAAAAATGGTGTGGCATTCTACCTTAAGGTAATCTGATCCTCAACCAGGAAGGATAACTCTTTAGTTTATAATTTAATTCAAAAATTTAAACATTAAATCTTTTCATGCATCAATTTTCATTTTATGCCTCTCAATGTGCTTCAAGGTTCTTTGAAGTTTTCGGAAAGGTCTTATAACAATTCGAAATTTTACACCATAAAAGTTTACTCGTATATACATATATAAGGTGCTTTAATATCTTCTATTTACTTCAATCATATTACAAAGCATAGTGTATAAAGATTTTCTTATAATTGCAAAACACCATTAATCACTTTTAATTTCATATCATGTTATAATTATTTGTATCTATGGTTAGTTTAAAATGAAACTCAATTTCTATAAATATGTAATTTTAAATAATTAATAATTAATTATTAATAATTAATAATAATTAATTTGTTCGATAGCCTGGATACCTAGGATTATTATTCCTAAAATGTGTTTGTTAATCAAATATGAATAAGAATATGCATAATAGTTATTTTAATTCGCATTTCTTAAAACAAATTGACATTTAGCAATTTTCCCTTTATACTATATGTTTAACTTAAAGATTTATTTTGAAGAATTATCGAGGGTAAAACATGTTACTTAAAAAAGAAATAAAAATTTTGCGAATTAACAAGAGACATTTTTGTAAGCATTTTTTATAATTAATTGAATGATTTTCAGAACCCAATGATCGGAATACCTTAGGATGAATGCTCTAAAATCTACGAATGTTTTTATTTAGATGAAATGTTTAGGTTTCAATGAGGTTTTCCAAAGAACTTTGATTTAATGCGTCTGAAATTGAAATAAATTATACCATAAAATAAAACATACTTCCGTCCGTCCTGTCGTTTAAAGAGAGTTTCAAGTTTACTTGTAGGGGCTCTGCTTATATCATCAATAAATAATCTTCCAGTAAACAGATTTCCTGCCTTAAAAAGATGCATATCAATTAATTATTTCATGGTTGTGCGAAAATGCATGCAATTATTCATTTTTGCAAAAGAATGTTTAATTTTCACAAAAATCGTTACCAAAAAAAAAAAGTTCCGACAAACTACTATTAACCACTTTAACCTTTTAGTGTTTATTATACCCGCACTTTCTAAAGAAAGTTCGGGTATATTGTTGTTACTCATGTCCGTCCGTCCGTCCGTCCGTCCGTCTGTCACACTTTTCTTCCCTGAACTCCTCTTACATTTTACACAGTAGCTTAATCATCTTTGGGGAGATGGTTAGTGGTGTCATGTAGATGTGCAGTAAGGTTTCGGAATTTTGATTTTGCCCCAGGGGGTCAAATGGGGGTCGAAAAATGACGTTTTTTATGCAAAAAGCCCCGTCTTCCCTGAACTCCTCTTACATTTTACACAGTAGTCTAATCATCTTTGGGGAGATGGTTGGTGATGTCATGTAGATGTGCAGTAAGGTTTCGGAATTTTGATTTTGTCCCAGGGGGTCAAATGGGGGTCGAAAAATGACGTTTTTTATGCAAAAAGCCCCGTCTTCCCTGAACTCCTCTTACATTTTACACAGTAGTCTAATCATCTTTGGGGAGATGGATGGTGATGTCATGTAGATGTGCAGTAAGGTTTTGAAATGTTGATTTTGCCCCAGGGGATCAAATGGGGGTCGAAAAATGACGTTTTTTATGCAAAAAGCCCCGTCTTCCCTGAACTCTTCTTATGTTTTACACAGTAGTCTAATCATCTTTGGGGAGATGGTTGGTGGTGTCATGTAGATGTGCAGTAAGGTTTTGGAATGTTGATTTTGCCCCGGGGGGTCAAATGGGGGTCGAAAAATGATGTTTTTTTTTTGCAAAAAAGCCCCGTCTTCCCTGAATTCCTCTTACATTTTACACAGTAGGCTAATCATCTTTTGGGAGATGGTTGTTGGTGTCATGTAGATGTGCAGTAAGGTTTCGGAATTTTGATTTTGCCCCGGGGGTCAAATGGGGGTCGAAAAATGATGTTTTTTATGCAAAAAGCCCCGTCTTCCCTGAACTCTTCTTATATTTTACACAGTAGTCGAATCATCTTTTTGGAGATGTTTGATGGTGTCATGTAGATGTGCAGTAAGGTTTTGGAATGTTGATTTTGGCCCAGGGGGTCAAATGAGGGTCGAAAAATGACGTTTTTTATGCAAGAACCCTTACCAAAATAAAAGCCTTCTGGCACATAGTTGCAGCAAGTTTACTGCAAAGTTGCCGCAACCTTGCGGCAAATATTTGCGCCAAACTTGCCGCAAATAGATTTTTCGTATGCAAATTTTTTTCTGGCACACAGTTTGCGGCATATTTGCGGCAAAGTTCTGGCACATTTGCGGCAAACATTTCAAATCCTTACATTATGCACTTAGCTGCAAGTTTGTGGCACACACTTGCGGGACATTTCTGGCATATAGTTTACTGCAAGTTTGTGGCACACACTTGCGGCACATTTCTGGCATATAGTTAACTGCAAATTTGTGGCACACACTTGTGGCACATTTCTGGCATACACAATTCCATAAGCTAATATACCTTACCTAAACAAATTAATTTTAAAAGAACGTGATTAAACATGAAAAAAAGAACATTTAAGCCATTTTAAAAATTATTTATGAAAATTTCAAGGTAAAAAGGTACATGTATATATAACACTAACTATAATATTAATGTTTAAAAAAAAACTTGCACAGTACGAGAACAAAATCTGTTGATTGAACAGTTACACTGCATACATCAGATAGAGAAAGAAACAGATTAAAAAAAAATAAATTCACAACCTTTGAGTAATATAATGGCACATATTTACATTGGTCATTATGCAAAATGAATAAAGGATTTGTAGTTAACAACAATCACAAAACATTTTACATCAAAGAAAAAATTCACCTCTTACAATGAATTTCAACTGCACATATCAAAGTAATAGTGCTGCACGATATGAATAAAAACATATAAAGTTTTTTGACAAATCAAATCTCACAATATTATTTACACAGTAAAGGCGACCATTTTGTCCAGTGTCTTGATTCTATCACTTTAAAAAAAAAAAAACATAATCCCCTTGAAGAATCCATGTCATGTTGAAAGAGTGTCCTCATCTGTTGCATTTCCCATTAATTGATTGATTGTATAGTGTTTAACGTCCCTCATGAGAATTTTTCACTTATATGGAGATGCCAACATCTGCCGTGGAAGAGCTGCAAATTTTGTCCTATACTACATTAATTGGCACTCAGGGCCATTGAGCAGGGAGGATCTTTTTTGATCATCACCTACTGCAACATGGGACCTCAGTTTATACAGCCTCATCTGAAGGATCCACAGTGGAATTCAACTCCTTACTTCGTGACTCGAGAGCAAACACTCTAACCATGCAGGCAACACATTTGATAGGAATATTTATTAACTACTTTCTTGGTACTTCAAGTTCACTCTGACATTTCAACTAACTTTTCATGATTGGGAGGGGGGGGAGGGGGCTTCCTTTCCAACATTATGCAAGTACCTGTTAAAAAGATAGAGAGAAATTACTCGCATTGCAGTCATTGAAACCAATAGTTATTTAAGCAATGAATTAAACCTAATTTTGACCTAGAGATCCCACATTTGTATCTGTTTTGTGTGCATTAAAATAATATTAAATGGCATTTCAGGATAAATTGACAAACCAGGATTCAAAAACAACACTTCATTAAAAAAAAACTACATGCTTCTTTGACAAATTATATAATGTTAAGTGTATTTTATCATTTATTTATTTGTTTATATGACATAAACATTTAAATATGGACCTAATTCTTAATTATGATTACTTACTTTTTGTCCATCTCTTAGTTAGCAGAATCCTTTCCTGCAGATAAATGCCCTCTTGATCTATTCTTTGTGGAGGGTTTATACTGATTCATCATCAGTCCATCTGGATAGAGCAAAAAATAAAAACATATACTATATCGACCCAATTTGTTATGAACAAGGACTGTAAAAATTCTAACTGGCTCAACAAATACAGTCAAGTCTTATTTCTATGTTAAAAAGACATCAGTGTTTTACAATTTTTTTTAAATACTCACATTTTCTCTTTATCCACGGTCTATGTTGCTGTTTTCTCCTTTGTCTTTGTTCTTGTCATGAGTCATGACCCAGGTGGTTTAAAATTGGCGCAAACTTCTAAACCGGATGTGAACTGATAAGCCGTTCTTAGATAGGTCTGTAACGTAACAGACAAGTCGTTCCTAAATCTTTATGGCACACTTTTGGCACACAATGATTTTGATAGTTAAAAGAATCATTTCTGGTACACTTCTGGCACACTATATAAATAAAAGGCATCTAAGGGAAAATTGTGGCATACTTCTGGCACATATGTGCATCAGATCATTTAATGTGCCGCTAGAAGTACATATGTGCCCCTAGCAGCACACAATGAACCACAAGTGGCATACTGTGTGCTGCTAGCTGCATTTACTGCACACTTCTGGCATACTGTTCTGGTACATAGATTTGTTTGCCGCAAACTTGCTGCAAGCTTGCCGCAAACTTGCAGCAAACATTTCATTTTGGTAAGGGAAGCCCCGTTTTCCCTGAACTCCTTTTGACTCCATTTGACTCAGTAGCCTAATTATCTTTTAAGAGATGGTTGGTGTTGTCATGTAGATGTGCAGTAAGGTTTCGGAATTTTCATTTTGCCCGGGGGGTCAAATGGGGGTAGATTTATTTATTTTATTTTTTTTTAAATATTTGATATTTTTAATCACCCTGCATTCTAGAACTTCCCTAATATTTTATGTATTAGCTTTAAACCATGATCATTTGGAAAATGATTGGTTTGTTTTGTGTATGTGTAAAATGGTTTCGAAATTTTACATTTTCATGTGGATGGCAAAAGGGGCAGGATAAAATGGCCCCTGCCTAACCCAGGGGGTCATGATTTGTACAAACTAGAATCTACACCTTGAGAATTTTTCCATATTAATCATGCTCTTGTTGTTCTTGAAAAGGAGAATTTTGAAGATTTGTTTCCTTTTATTCCTAAATAAAACTTCGATCCCAAATTGTGGCCTGACCTAGCCTTTGAGATTATGATTTGAAAAACTAGAAATATGTCTATAGGACATGAATGTCCCACTGGATGTATATAACTCATGCTACAGGAAAATTTGTATTAGAGTATTAAGTTTGTTAAAATTTCTCAAACAGTTTCTTTAGAATTGAAACTAAAATCTAAATAAATTGGATATAGATTATAAATCCTCACCAAATTATGTATAAGTGCATGCTAAACATAAAAATGTCTTAAATTATTTCTTTAAAACTAAGCGAAATACAAATTATAAAGGATGGAGGTCAAGGTCAGAGGAATGTGCAAGGTGAAGTTTTTGATGAAGTTATCAGCAATTTATGTTTGATAAAAATATCTTGAATGATTTAATGAAATTGAGCTTAACACTTTTTCTAAGAAAAGAGAGGTCAAAGGAAAGGTTAGGGCCAAAATGTCAATCGTTGCAGTTGAAAAGCTTACATCAGTACGAATTTACTATTAGCATATGAAGTTTGATAAAACTACAGTCCCTGAAACGTTCTACTTTCCCACCTGAACGGTGAACGAACGGTGAACGAACGCTGAACGAACGGTGAACGAACGCAGAGCGAACGGTGAGTGAAGGATGTGCGAACGGTGAACGCAACTTGGTGAACGATGTGTGAACGGTGAACGGTGAGTGAACGCAGAACGCGAACGGAGCGCGAACGCGAGCGCAAAGTGAACGGTGAACGAACGGTGAACGCAAGATGAACGATTTATTCGGAATGCCTTCGGTCTTTTCCTTGTATTGAAATTATTCTTTTATTCTATAATTCAAATGTCAAAAATAAATATAAATACATAATAGATAAACAAAAGAGAAATAAATAGATAGATAAATAAATAAATAGTAAATAGTAAAAAAA